TTTATGGAGTGACGTCCTTTCATTTTCTGTGTTCTCTCCATACCTTGCATTTTATAAAGCAAAAGTTCTCTCCTGCCTTCTAATTTGATCCAGCCGAAAGAAATTCTATCAGGATGACCAACAGATTCCGTATCTTACAGATGCTTTGTTGTGAACATTTAGTCCTCATTGGGTTCTCATTTCAGCTGTTGTCAGATTCCTTCCCCTAGAAATATTCCCGGAGCAGTCAGCAGTAAGGGAGGGAAAGATGGCTAGGTGAGGACTAGGTCTTTAGAGCCAAAGTCTTCACTTCCTCTATTTTCTTGTGGTCTATCAATCAATCTAATCACACTTGGAACCACCTACTCCCTTGAAGATTGATTTGAAGTTCCTAGGCATCAAATATAAACCTGTGAGACAGAAGCATCTGTAGTGCTTCTGAACGGCATTATCCTGAAGGTGAACAGCAGTGATGTGGCGAACGTGGCTGGGGAGAGGGAGCGCGAGGGGAGGGAAGAGGAGATCGCAGTGCAGACAGCTCCAAAGACTGTAGAGGGCTGAGTTCTTGATGTGCGATCCTCAGGGAGCCCTGCTCCAAGTGCCCCTTTAATTTGGAAGACATTGCCAGAGATGAGGCCGAAGGATCTGAGAGTGTCAGTTTGTCACTTACCACAGATACTCCTGCTCAAATCTGAGTCCTGAGTCACACGGTAAGATGGAAGCACTAAGAAGCACCTGGTGATGCCATTATTTAGCCCCTTATTTCCACAGCAGTCCAAAACATAAAGGCCACAGGGCCCAGAGCTGAGGAAGGAAGTTAAAGATTTAATGAAATTTGTAATTTTGCTGCATCTGATTCAGCCCTAGGCAGAATGCTCCATTTAAGAAAAGGGGGTGTAGACTACAGTAACGGGAAGGACTCCAGGAAAACAGGAAGGGGAAATAGACAGCTCTTAGTGTAGGTAGATCTGTTTGTGAAACACGAATATTGTACTGGACAGCAAAGTCTGGTCTGGCTCTCCTGCTTGCCCCTCCTGGACCCAAGATTCTTCAGTTTCTTGATCCTGATCACTCAGAGCACTCTAAGACCCATGGTGTATACACTGGGTCACTCGGAGTGCTTGAGAGTGGGAAACAGTGTAGTGAGAAAGAGTTCGTGTGTGCAGACCAGCGTCACACATGACCGTGAAAGGCTGCCCCTTAGGAGTGGCTTTTTTCCTTCTCACTAGATTTCTATTCTCATGCTTTGTTTCAGTCCTTCCAAATATCCCTCCCTAATTTAAACACAAGTCAGAACTTCAGGATCGTGACCACCGTCGTCACTAATGTCATCTATCGTGCGTTCTGGAACCTGTGTGGGTATCTGCTCACTGTTCTCACAAGCAGAAGTCTGAGGTAGTGTGCTGATGACGTCATCACACAGAGGAAGGGGAGGTGACAGTGAGAGGCTGTGTGGCTCGTTCAGGGTGACATGTCTGTCACAGCTCCGTCTGTGTGGGGGTGATGTCCGTGCACACATACCCACAAACCGTGTTTCTGTGTCCTATGTGTCAGAAAATATGGACTTAATCATTTAAAGGCTTTGTCAACAGACCAAAGATATATTGTATAAAGTAAGTTTAAAGGCTTGGCTTAAAAAGATCTCATTTCCTAAGAACTCGTATCTGGAAAAACCTCCCCTGCAGTTCGTGATGCTGGGTCACAGGCAGACATAAACAGGTCGTCTGCATCCCTTGAGAATCAGGACTTTTTGCTTCATTTTTACTATATTTTATTCTTCCTATCTTTTTTTTTTCATTTTAAACAGCATGCACAAATACTTTATTTTTGAACAGACGAAAACAATTGAGAAGTCATAAAAATTCCGCAACAGTTAAACAATATCAGAGCAAACCCTTTTTTATATTTTTAATGCAAAATCACCATGTGTCCTGTATGTAATGTCCTAAGAGTTTTTTTTTTTAGCACCACCAACACCCCACCCCTTTGCTTGTTGATTTTGAATCATATTAGCAGATACTTAGCTCTTCCTTCATTCCTAGCATTTTTCTTGTTTGAATTCGAATTTGCTTTGTTGGTCTGTCAGCTCAGTATTGAGTCCTGCTATCTGGTATGGTGATTTGTGGGATTGCAGTAAGTCTGGATCGACTCCACCCTTTAGAGACTGGTTGGGAAGCAGGAAGTTTCTGAGTCTCGCAGTAATTTGCATATCTTACTTTAAAGTCTGAAGATCTCTGCACCAGAGTCACCTGAATTTATTTATTTATTTATTTTTGGCTGTAGGGCAGGGCATAGCTTTTTAGTTCTCATTCCTCTCAGCCCCCCCACCACGCCCCCACATACACACAGTCCCTGAAGTTTTGAAGTCTGTCCTGCTGTTGTAGATGGGGCTGGCCTTGAACTCACAGAGCTCTGCTTGTGCTAAGGTGCTAAGATTAAAGGCGTGCACCACTGCCTGGCTAGCTGGCTAGTTCTCATTTCTTACAGAATGAAATGTAGTAATTTACTGGTTTTAGAAAAGAAAAGTTAATTATTATCTAAATGTCAAATATATGAATAAATGATGTTTGTAGTAGTTGGTCAGTTGTGCTACAGCCATACTGTATTTTAAAATCGTGCATCTTTGACGTTCACTTTCAGAGACAATCTTGCTATGTAGTCCAGGCTCGCCTCACATTGTTTATGTCTTAGTGAAGTAGGAATATCATAGAATGCCATCACATGGAGGTCTCTTTTTTCTGATTCTTGGTGTTGATTATAGCTTGGCCAATCCTCTACTTTAAAAGATGTCAGATTTTTCAAGGTTGATTCGCTTCATTGTGTTACTCAGAAAAGAGGTTTCTCATCTCTTTCTTCCAGGGGCCGCAAGTACTAATAGCGCAGAGCTGCTCTGGTTAGGACTCCTCTGACGGAGGGGGCAGGGGTGGATGTGTATTTGAGAGGAAAGATCGCAGAACAAGACTGAAAGCCGTAAGGAATTCAGTCTCCTATAACAGCTTGCTATCACCCAGATATGATGGCGTATGTTTGTAACTCTATCACTTTATAGAATTTCTAACTCAAATCCAGTGTAGGCTACATAGTGAGATCCTATCTCAAACAAAATGGAAAAAAAAAATCCAAAATCTCTTTTGCAGATTTACTCAGGGCCCTTCAAGAGCTATTTTTATCCCTTCCAGTGACACAGCCACAATGGCTTGGTGACCTCCCCGTCGCCTCCAGCCCTCTGAAACCTCAACAGCCTAGCACCATGTCCTTTGAAGCAAACTTCTAACACACGAGTCCTTTGGTGAAAAAGAACTCTGAAAGCACATCCAACCACAGCAGGCCCTGTCAGTGTGGCTGGACGTATCTTCTGTGCATCACTCTGCTTGTCGTGTGTTAAATATTAAGCCACTTTGGTATCATTCTTATCCTGAGGCTCTTATATCACACGTGCGCGCGCACACACACACACACACACACACACTGTATGCATAACCTGATAGGTTAAAAGTTTTCGTATACAATTTTATTTGTTCTTCAAAAAGCAAATGTTCCTAAGAACTTATTTGCTCCTTTCTGAAGTTGATGTTAGCTTAGCTACATTTGAAAGAATGAGAAAGTAAATAATAAAAACCTTCAGTTTTAGATCAAGATGAATCCCCTCAGTGTCTTAAACGCTTGAAATAAAACTTTCATATAGTTATTCCGGAAAAGCCCCATGGACCCACTGTAATTATATTTTGAGTTTGTTTTAATGAGCTTATCTTATATATATGTATATAGTTCTGTATGTTTCTGTCCTCTGTGTGTCAGCTGTCTGAATCTCACAGATCGCAATTTCAAATTAAATAGTACAGAATTTGACTGATTCTCACCCCCTGTGTGTTCTAGACAGAAGACACTGCTGTAAGGACATATATCGACTAACTCCTCTGTCCCGTTTTAATCTGTCTTTGGGTGCACTCAGCTTTCTCAGAACTGATTTCTCCCGGCAGGCTTTCTGAGTTGTCTGGAGGACATTCTGCCCCTTGCTGAACTGGCGATCCTTACAGGGTGCTGGGACAGGATGCTCTGCCCTCTGCTGTGGTGCTTGGCTCTCCCATCCACAGCTACTTCATTCTTTCAATCTCCTCGGTGACTAACCTAAGTGCAGGGCATCATACAGGCAACAGAAGCTCAGCATGAAGGTCGAGGCTACTCTGCCGTGTGTCATAAGCGGTTGCCGTCTGATATCCAATCAAATCCCAGTAACAAATTTGAATTGTGGATATGATGGTTCCAGCAAGATCCTTGAATTCTTTATAAAACTTGCACACCCTCAGCCACCCAAGCCAAATGGACACAGAATCACTTGAGCACACATTGTGTCTTGTAAGTCAGGTGATGCCTTACAGTAAGAGAGTAAACTGGTGCTTTGAGAAAGCCTGTGCTGTTCGCCATAGAAACACGGGCGAGGTAGGGAGACATGCTGTTATTGGCATGCTAACTTCTCATACTTGAAAAATAACTGCTTATTATCTTAGTGCTTTAATGCATAATTGTCTTTTTAAAGTTGTTACTTTGAATATGTTTTTGTTAATTTATAATTTATATTTAAATATAGTCAGTTCTTGAAAAGTAAAAAAAAATTTGTATGTATACATGTGAAAATCCCAGTTGTTAATTTCACTGTCATGTGGCTTCGAGTGTTCTCAGCTCACATAAAGTAAATAAGAACTTAAATTCATTTGTGGAAAACTTGTGATGAGAGTTTTGTTATGTGTCAGGATATATAGTCAATGAGGAAATTGACACTCAGCAAACTATTAACATGCATTTGTTTTAATGCATACATGTTTGACAGAAAACTAAGGATGAAGGTGGTTCTGCTCTGGTTGAAATGGGGAGTGGTGGAGCATGCCACTGCATAGCTAAAAACCCATTCACTTGTCCTCTATTTGTTTTGTCTAGGAGGTAATGGTGACTGTGAAGTAGAAAAATATTGATCCATCATGCTATAGCCAGAGGGATATTAATGCATTTCCACTTTTTTCCAGCACACTGATTTATGTCAGTACATGGACAAGCACCCTGGAGGACTCCACCCAGAGAATGTGAAGGTAGGAAAAGCGATGTGAGAACCAAGGGTTCACATTCTTCGTGTGGAGTTTTGAGTCCAAGACGAACATCTCTATGATCAATTGAAAGTTTTTAAAAAATCTTCTGTGTGTAGGACATCAAATTAAAAAGAGCTAGTCGTTATTTTAGTTGGTGGAAATTAATAGTGTTTTAATACTAAATGGTTTTACTATAAAAACATTTAGGTTGTTTTCTGTACTTTGTGGTCACTTTTGAATCATATCTCAATTACAGTAATGTACATGATAATTTCAGATAACTGAGTTAAAAGAGCGTTTGTGATGTTTAAGCTGAGCATATTTGCTCAAGTTTTAGCAAAAAATACATACTTTGTTCTTTTTTCAGATGTTTACTATATTCTACTCCTCTTGAGTGTTTAACCTTGGTTTAAAGGATGCTTTCATGAAAAACTAAAGGAAGATGGGAAAAAACTAACTAAAATGCAGAGGTTTATTGATTTATATAATTAATGTTTTCAACATTTTCAACATTGTGCTAAAATAAAATGTCAGTTTCAAATAGAAAAAAAAAAAACAAAGGAAGAAAGAACCACACCAGCAAATGGGAGATGGTAGGTGGTGTTGGAATAACAGTTTGAAAATTTTGATGCAAATTTTTTTCCAACCTGGCACTACATACCGACCATCAGGTGAAGAAGGAGGGTAAATTGTAGTCATGCCCAGGATAATGCCAGCATCCCAGAGATGTGCTCCATTTGAAACCCACATTTCATAGAAAATAAACACCACAGCTACTGAGATTGAGACATTTGTTAAAGGACCTTGGTCCTTTGTTCAATGTTTATTTCCCTGTGGTACAAAATTAATACATTAAGTTACTGTTGGTAGCTGTATTATGACTTCATTAGCAATTGGTCATTTAGGTTTATTCCCGTTTTTATATTGAAGATGATAATGTTCTTTTCTTTGAAGTTACAAAACATTAGAAACTGGACACATGAGTTTGAATGCCCTGTTCTGGCATCTGACATGCAGACCGTGGATGCTGACAGCTGCATTTCCTTGGGAGGCCACTCCCCTATTTATTTGTTGGCTTTTCCTCACTGTTTGCTAAGAGACAAGTCACTCCTCCAGGGTTACAGTTAGGATTTACACTGCACATGAAATAGTCTCCAAGATGTCTGACAAATGCATGGTGACAGATGTCCCATTGGTATTTCCGTTCAGTGTATTAGCATATTCTTTCAGATGGTGATAGTTATGGTCACTTAAGGCTATGAATACAAAATGAAGAACATAATAATATTTACTAAGTTAACAACTTTTCATAATACTGTGTTAGAGATTGATTTAAAGGAAATCGTTTGAACTAAAACCAAGACACTGAAACAGTTCTACATTTTTAGAAGATTTGAAAATGAGGTGAAATGTTATTATCTTTAAAGAATATGTCCTGGACTGTTAAGATGGTTCAGTGAGTAAAAGAACTTGTCAGACACAGGCCTGATGACCTTCTTAGAACCCAGGATCCTGTGATTTAAGGACAGCACACACCCCAAGGTTTGTCTTCCACGCTCCTGCTGTAACAAACATGTACTCACATTCACATGCAATTTGCACGTAATAATAACAGTAAGAGATTTAAATCAAAGTATGTACTAAAAGGCTGTGTCTTCTTAACTCATCTAATGCTCAGTGTTTGGCCAAACATGCCAGATATCATCAAATAATCAGAAGATAATGCTCAGTATGTATTATGGTTAAAAAAAGAGAAGTGAAATGATCAAATTCTTTTGCATACAGATTTCTCGGTTTGCAGCTTGACAATGTGTAGAAACGGTTTAGACATTTATCTTAAATTTACATATGCTCTTTGTTTTTACTTCTTACATATTGGTTGGTTATAAAATGTCAGCGTCAGGGTAGGGAGATGGCTCCGTGGGTAAAAGCACTGCTACCATGCCCAGGCACCCGAGTTCCGTGTCTAGGACCACCGTGATGTAAGGAGAGAGCAGGCTCTCAACACATAATGTCACACATGCCATCCCCCATAAACATGCATGCCAATAATATAATTGATAAGTCAATACACTTGTGAATCGATGGGGTTTTTTTCTCTGTGTTTGATTTGGACAGAATTTCGGGTACCACAAGCATAATGTGTTGTGGGAGAACAGAGAAAAAGAAGGGGCACCTGGACCGCCCTGTGCCCTCCAACTCTGCAGGAGCATCTGAAATATTTTAAGTTCATTTGGTACTAATTTTAGGCAAAAAAAAAATTGTGAAAGTTTTATTGTTTCTGTGTAGCACTCCAGGTCAGTACTGGAATAAGCTCAAGAAATTTAGTCAGTATTAACTGAATTTCCCAAACCATGGCTGCTACTTAAATTACCTGCAGAATGTGTCTGTTATTAATATGGCATTCTGAAGCAAATGTTGACTCTTAACTAATAGTTCATTTCTAAGCATTATATACATTTTTGACAAATGAGTAATTTCAGCAATTAGTTACCAAGAGGACGATTTAAACCCTGATGTTAAAGCCTGAGGCCAGGGCCTTATTATAAATATTTATGATGATTAAAGACATAGCAACCCATTTCTACAGCATGGAAATTGGCATGTGGGAGCTTCTTAGCTTTCCTGGAGACTACATATTTTTCCACATTTTAAATACTAGCTACCTTACAGCATATTAGAGTTTGGTCATGATTGAGTCCCACACAAAATTCGTCTCAGTTTATGATCTTATACCTATTAGTGAGTTGTAGATTGGCCATTGAATTTTTTAAACAACTGAAGCAGTTTAAATGTCTCCTTTTATTCTGATTTCATGTATTTAAAAATTGATAAGCTCGAGAGACTGGAAATTAAGGTTCATGGAAGAAAAGAAAAGATTAATTGATGCTGTCTCTAGCTGGCAGACATACATATAGATGATGTATCTTATTATCATGATGAGATTGAGTCTTCCTGTGTTTCATGTAATGTATTTCCATTTCTGTGATATAATGACTTTTCTAGATGATTCTTTACAAAGTTATATTTCCCGTTTTTTTAAAAAAAATGACTGAAAATGACCAGAATAATTTTGAACTCCCTGCCCTATTCCCTGAAGTATCTGCAATCCTCTTGGTATAAAAGCTGGCTCCTGGTTTTCATATCAGCTAAAATATGAAGTTTATTATGGTGAAAAGTGGCTTTCTTTCTTCTGTAGTTCAGAGAACAAGCAGGTGTATAACAGATAACATAATGTTATGCCAAATTAAGATTGTCTTATACAGATGGCACTGAGAATTGATTCCTAAATGAGACTCTCTGATGCTTAGAGAGGAAACCAAATGGCACCTGATTTTCTCCACAGTCTTCATTAGAGCTCTCATTGACCTAGTAATGATACCTTCTGATGCGTTGCCAGGGATATTATAGAGCTTTTTCTAATTCTATATGTTGGGAAATATGATGTTTTTCATCATCGCATTAAATAGTGTTTTTGAATAAAATTCTACATATATTAATAGTGCCTACCCAGGAAATTCCTGAACGCTTTTGTTCTATTTTTGTAGTAAGAAATTATACTCCCTATTTAGAAATTAAAGGATTGATAGAAAATAAAGTTATAATAAAATTGTGCATGTGTATTAGACATGCAAGGGGCAGCTAAGAAGTAAATTTTATGATTAACATGTGGGGCCAACATTCAATTGAATCATTTGTTGATATACTTGTTAACCACTTTGGTCTGATAGAGAAATCAAGACCAGATAATTAAATAGTACATTCTTCAGTTACAGTGTTCTCAAACTAAAAGCATGGTAGGTTGCAGTCTCTGAAGTTATGTGTAGTTATAGGGCAGTAGCAGCCAAATGGAAGCTCCCATTGGGAATAGGGGAGATGTCATCCTGGGATTCAGACTTTAACCAGATTATCCTGTCTGCCTCTCTCCATCCCGTGATGGACGTAGCACAGTGCACTAGTGTTTAAGTTCCTCTCTCCATCCCGTGATGGACAGAGCACAGTGCACCAGTGTTTTACGTTCCCGCCTCTCTCCAATCTGTGAACACAGTACACTAGTGTTTTGTTTATCAAAAAGGACAAGATGCCCATCAGGGAAACCAGCAGGTGCAGTGGAGTTGCACACAGGATTCAGTATTCAGCACTTTTTTGATTGTCTTGGCTAAGCATGGCTTCTGTGTGACAAGCCAGGAAAGCCCATAGGTATTATCTCATTATTATGTAAATTTCTATTATTTCACATGCCTCTGGGAGGTTATTGAAAGAAATTCATTGGTCGTATATACCCAAATTCACAAGTCTTTAATTATTACATTTCATTTGGAATTATTTTTCTCTGTTGTGTAGCTTCCTTTGATGAATATTCTCCAAGACTTTTAGGCTTGATCTGTTAGTCTTCCAGGCTGTGTCTTTATCTCTTTCTAAAACAAATTTATATTACCCTTCTCGATTCATATCAAGAAATTTCATGCTGATTTAGTCTCTAAGATCTTATAGACATAAAAATCATTGAAATGTAAATGCTTGTTCATTTTCATTGTGTGGAAAAGAATTTCCACTAACCTTTTACGTGTGGTATGATTAGCAATTCATTAACGAATCCTTGTGTTTTGGTCAGTTTCATGTCAACTTGAACCAAGCTGCAATCTTTTGGGAACATTTCTCAACTGAGAAAATTTCTCCCTAAAGTTGGCCTATAGGCAAGCCTGTCCTACTCCTTGATTAAAGATTGATATTGGAGGGTCCAGCCTCCTGTAGGTGGTGTTGCTCCCAAGGCAGGTGGCCCCTGGGCTGTGGAGAAAGTAGGCTGAGCAGGCCATGTGTGGGTGTTTCTCCATGTTTCTGCATGGAGGTTTTGCTCTGATTTCCCTTCATGATGAATTGTGGTATGCTACTGTCAACTGAGATAAGTCTTGATCTCCCCAAGTTGCTTTTGGTTATTATATTCAGTCACAGCAATAGAAACCCTAATTAAGACCCATGGCTCTCTGTGCATTTTTATCAGA